TTCACAAGAGTGTTTATTGGGACTTAAGGCGCAGCACATTCCAGTCGATCATTGGGACGTCATAATTGTTCATATGACGTTGAAGAAAGACAAGATTACACAAACAGCATTTGAGCAGTCATTATCAAATAATCGAGAGCTGATCACTATGAAGGAACTATTTCAATTTCTTGAACAAAGGTTCCAATCGCTAGAAACAATAATAAAAAATAATAGCGCATCAAGACAGTTAAGACAGTGGCTATAACTAACACTGCACAAGTTAAATGTTCAATATGCAAGAGAGATAATCATCCAATTCATCTATGCAAGCAGTTCCTGGATGATACCCCAGCTAAGAGGCTACATCTTATAAAATAATTGCAACGATGTTTCAATTGTCTAAAAAGTGGTCACTTCACAAAAGACTGCACATCAGGCAGTTGCTTAAAATGCAGCAAGAAACACAACACATTGCTGCATTTAGAAGGCACATTTGAAGCATTCATGATTAAGAAGGCATCCTTATCAAAAAATCCTGCTTCTCTGTTTTCCAACAATCTTAACATCCAAAAAAATTATGTGGTATTAGGAACTGCACGTGTTGTCGTTAAAGGCTACAATGGAAGGGAAATTGAGTGCAGAGCATTGTTGGATTCCGGCTCCCAAGTCAACCTGATAACCGATCAAATAATTAAGAAGTTAGGTGAAAACCCGAAAAAGACCTCAGCATGTGGGGCAAAAAAAACAAGATGCGCAACTCACGAATCAATTTAGCTTTCTCGTCCAGAATTAACGGATTTAGCAGCCGAATAAAGGCTTATATATTACCTAAGATTGTGTGTGACTAGCCTAGCATATTGAAAGCTCAAGCTGGAAGATACCACAGAACATCAATACCCCAAACAAAATCGATCTCCTACTTGGAGCCGAGTTTTCTCATCAACTATTGTCCATCGGCCAAATAAACGTTGGCAGAGGTCTCCCCATCCTACAGAACACATTGCTTGGGTGGCTTGTGGTGGGAAGAATATCCAACCAAAATTTAATTATTTCACCACAAGTTTGTGAAATATGCTCTGAATATGATCAAGATACGATGAAGGTTATCGAGCGGTTCTGGCAACTAGATGAACCAGAAAAGGCAAACAAAAATCTATCTCCTCCCGAAGAGTTGTGCGAGTCTCATTTTGCAACTTATATGAAAAGGAATCAAGACGGTCGATTCAGTGTCAGATTACCCTTCAAGCAATATCCATCGTTGCTTGGTGAGTCAAAACACATTGCCATTAACACGTTTTTAGCGTTAGAAAGAAGACTCGATAAGGATGTACCATAATACTCAAAAAACAGTATGTACAGTTCATGAATGAATATGCTGATCTCGGACACATGGAAAGGGTTGACATCAACCAAGTTACACCTCATTATGTCATCCCACGTCATGGCGTTTTACGGCCCGATAACAGCACCACGAAATTAAGAGTGGTATTTGATGCATCATGCAAGACGAGTAGTGGACTATCGTTAAATGATACAATGTTTACTGGCCCAACAATTCAAGAGGAATTGTTTGCGATTTTACTTCGATTCAGGTGCCCAAGATTTGTCTTTTGTTCTGACAATTAAATAAATGTACAGACAAATTATTATTCAGCCCGAAGATCAAAGATATCAATTAATAGTCTGGAGAATCAATAATAACGAACCCCTACAATTTTATAGATTAAAAACAGTCACCTATGGAACACTTTCAGCCCCATATCTGGCTACTAAATGCTTACAACAGTTGGCGAAATCTGAGTTGCAAAAATATCCACTAGGTGCAGCAGCACTAAGTAATGACTTCTACGTAGATGATTGCCTAAGTGGATCAAATAGTCTCCAAACTGCCAAGGATATACAAACTCAATTAAAAGGTTTGTTGAAATCAGCAGGATTCAAGCTACGTAAATGCTGTGCCAACCATCCGTCACTTCTTCAAAATATTGCAAAAGAAGATCAAGAAGTTGATTTGGACTTTCAAAGTGACGACGCAACATCAATCAAAACATTAGGATTGACTTGGCAACCAAAAGAAGATCAATTTCGCATAAAATTAAAACTGGATCCATTAAAAAGCATTACTAAAAGAACCATTACTTCTAACCTAGCCAAAATTTTCAACCCATTGAGATTACTAGGTCCAGTACTCGTAACAGCAAAAATACTAATTCAGGACCTATGGCAATTACAATTAACGTGGGACGAAGCAGTACCAGCCGAAATACACACTAGGTGGACAACCTTTTATGACGATCTACAATTACTAGATCACTTTCAAATAGATCGTCATATATTCGGAAAACAGACGCCAGCATTTGAATCAATACAATTGCATGTATTTTGTGATGCTTCGCAAAAGGCATACGGAGCCGCAGTCTACGTTCGAGCAAAACTAATGGATGGTCGACTAATAAATCGATTGTTGTGTTCCAAGTCTCGTGTTGCTCCACTCAAAAAACAAACAATTCCAAGGTTAGAACTGCGTTCAGCTCTATTAGGAGCAACATTGATGAAAAAGGTTAAAAACAAGATAAATCATGATGTAGCAACGTATTATTGGACTGATTCAGAAATCGTTCTCTTTTGGATCAACTCGTCATCAGCAAGGCATCAACAGTTCATAGCAAATAGAATCAATGCAATTCAGGAAATTATGTTGCCTAATCAATGGCGTCACGATCTAAGGACAACCCAGCTGACTCCTTATCACGGGGTATCAAGCCAGCTCAATTACTCGAAAATAACTTGTGGTTATACGGTCCACTCTTTCTTCATGGTTCCGAAAGCAACTGGCCTGGTTGTTCATTAAAAACTCTCTGTATTGATCCGATGAATCCTGAATGGAAACAAACGACAAGGGAAGTGGCCTTAATCTCAACTGATTACGATATCCATTGGATCGATAGAATTAATCACAAGAATTCATTAAGAACTCTACTACATACGGTGGGATATATGCTGCGATTTGTAAATCGGGTAAGGCGAACCAATTTAAACAATATCACTACGGCTCTAAGCCCTACGGAACTAGAGCTGTTACTCAGGTATATAGTGAAGTACATACAACAGGCAGAACTAAGAGAAGAATTAAATCAGTTAGAACGCAATCAAGTAGAACCTGCAAGTACACTTGCTGGACTGATGCCATTTTTAAATGAACACAAGATAATTCGCGTGGGGGGAAGGTTAGAAGCATCATCACTGACATATGATGAAAAGCACCAGATAGTCCTTCCATACAATAACCCTATTGTAAAACTGATAATGAAAGATATACATGAACGAAATATGCACTGCGGCGGTCAAGCACTGCTGGCAGCAGCGAGACAAAAATTTTGGCCGATCAAGGGTAAAATTATGGCAAGATCAACTATTCACCATTGCGTTCGTTGTACTAGATGTAAACCTATTACTTTTGAACAAGTCATGGGAAGTTTACCAAGGCATCGAGTACAGTCAAACAGGCCATTTTTTAATACCGGAGTTGACTTCTGTGAGCCTTTTTGGGTGCATTATAGGGTGAGAGGAAAACGTCCACATAAGGCATACCTAGCAGTTTATTGTTGTTTTGCGACAAAGGCAGTACACTTGGAACTGGTAAGCGACTTGACAACAGAAGCATTTATCGGATCATTAAAACATTTTATCGCACGACGCGGATGCTGCCAAAATATATACTGTGACAATTCAGCGAATATTGTCGGTGCCTCTAATAGCTTGCAGGAATTAACAACAACAATCCATTCCAATGTAGCTCAGGAACAAATAACAAAAACTTGCAGCAACAAAGGAATAGCATTTCACTTCATCCCTTCTCGTACACCTCATTTTGGTGGACTATGGGAAGCAGCGGTTAAATCAGCCAAATACCTATTGGTCCGAAGCGTTTCAACTGAAACGTTAACGTACGAGGAACTCGAAACCGTCATTATAGAAATAGAAGCTACTTTAAACTCTCGACCTTTAACACCAATGTCGTCTAATCCAAATGATTTGCAGGCTCTCACACCAGGTCATTTCTTAGTTGGTGATGCACTAACAGCACCCGTAGACGCAACATGTGAAAAGGTAAAATCATCTCTTTTGACTAGATGGAATCTGGTTGCACACTTAAAACAAGAGTTTTGGAAAAGATGGCAGGCAGAGTACCTAATGGAACTACAGGTTCGAAACAAGTGGCGTGAAGAATGCAAAAACATTGAAGAAAATACACTGGTGATCCTTAAAGAAGATAATGTACAACCTTTGCAATGGCCTTTAGGGCGAATAATGAAGACATATAGGGGTAATGATGGATTTATACGAGTCGTAGATGTGAAAACCGCAACAGGCATGTTAAAGCGACCAATTCACAAACTAGCACCCTTATTTCCTGAAAACAAGCCTATTAAAACACAGGAGGATCGCCATAACAAAAAAAAAACGAATGGACAATGAGATAGTCCCACGAAAACAGAGACGTGTGTCCTCCAATATAAAATTAACTGCAGTACTGATGTCTCTACTTTTACTCCCGATTGTTCTTTGTTTACCAGTAAACGTAACTGAACTTCGCTCCGCTCCTGGCATAAATTTTGAACAAGTAGGAACAACAAAATTGATAACATCCCACTGGAAAGTGATAATCTATTACGATTTAGCTCCATTTAATACAGAGCTGGACATACTAAAGGATTCAACGTTGAATCTTTTGAAGCTATGTGATCAAAGCAACTTAAACTCAACATGCAAGTTTGTGGTTCAGCATTTCCAGCAAGCAGAAATTGAATTAAGAACAGCATTTGAATTTATGTCAAGCGCCCGAAATAAGAGAGGGGCAATCGATTTCGTTGGGAATATAGCAAGCTCCCTGTTTGGAGTACTCGATTCCAATTATGCAAGTGATATGTCGAAGACGATCAAAAATCTAGAAGAGAACGATAAAAAACTCAAACATCTGCTCAAAAATCAAATATCAATAATCGACTCCACAATTAACGTAATAAAACAAAATCAGATAAGTCTCAAAAATAACTTCCAGGATATAGAAAATCAATTAAACACGATCTCCAAAAGGTTAGTTAAGGACGAACATGATCAATTATATGGAAAAATTATTAATATGCTGACCATCCAAATGACAACCGCCACAATAAATTTGCAACGTGCGCAATCCACAATCATGTATGTTCTCATTGATAGTCATCATGAAAAAATTAATCCGCTTCTAATTACGCCGCAACAGTTAATAACGGAAGGAGAGAAAATCCGAGCACATTTACCGTCTCATTTACAATTTCCAGTAGAGCAAAATGATATATTAACTCTTTATAAGCTGATGCAAGTAACTGGGCAGGTATCAAGTGACCATGTAATATTCAATATCATGATACCACTCGTTGAACGAAAAAACTTTGAAATATTTCATGTAGTACCTACCAAGGTATTAACGTCAATAAAGCCATCAACAGAATATCTGGCTATCAATTCTCACAAGGATAAATACTTCCCCATAACAAAATTAGCACTGCAATCGTGTATTACAACTGAAGAGGACTGATACAATAATGGAACAGGTGACGAATGCGAAATAGTTGAAGCAACCATTTGGACTCAGCTGAAACACAAAAATCACTGGATATACGCTACCAAATATCCTATTCAACTTAATGCGGTATGCGGTTCAAATGCATTTCCAGTGATGTTAAATAACACTGGCATGGTAAAAATTGCATCAGATTGTATCATCAGAGACAACACGATTCTTATTCAAGGACATCAAGTCATAACAAGTCTGCTCAAATCAGCATATACGAGCATAGGAATTTCAACACCTGAAATTAAGCCATCTAAGCGGATAAACAATTCCGAAATTGAATATCTTCCACAATTAGAAGAACTAACAATTCTGCAAAAACAACTAACGATATCACAACAACATAAAGATGACATCACTCTAAGTTGAATTAAAATTCAACGTGGGGGAGGATATGTTAAGTATTACATTAATAATTTATTTTGTCTTTTGCTAACCAATGCTAAAATGCATTTAACGTAATTGTAATACAATAATAGGTTATATTTTTGCTGATTAGTGTTTATTTTATAACTAGGGCTAGAACACATTTTAAGTAATTTGTTTGCTATTATTATTCATTGTTTTGCTAAATATTTTATGTAATTTGCTTGCTATTAATTATTAAATGTTTTGCTGAATATTTTATGTGTCATTATAGGTAGTATTTTTGCTTGATATTAATTATTGTTTTAAATTAGGTCAGTAAATTATTGCACATGATAAGTTTTAGTTGTAAGAAAAATGTATATATAGACAAATCAATTCTTTAATAAAGTGATTCATTGATACAAACTTGAATACAACTCACCTTTCTTTTCATCAAAATACTAACGGGTTTATGTGCTCGGTAGTATATTCACGAATATAAAAAATACAAATATACCGTCCAACAAGTTACATGTGCTTGGTGGAATTCCGGTATACAAATACACATCTATAGAAAATTGAGGATAAAAGCATTCTCAACAATTGTCATGGTCTTTTAAAAGACCTGTTTATTGTTCTCTACAGTTTTAAAATACCAAAGACACGTATATAAATTTCCTCAAATCTCTTGGTCAGAGATTTGTAGTCGGAGGGGATTTCAACGCAAAAAAAAGTAAAGGGCAATAATCTTTACACTGCATTGAGGGAATATAAAGCAAAATTTTAAAAGTACTTATGAACCAACATACTGGCCTAGTGACCCAAGAAAGCAAACTGATTTGTTTGCCTTCTTTATATCCAAAAACATAAATGTAAATAATGTAAAAATAAAAATGTAATAATAATAGTTCTATACATTTCAGCTTTGAGCTGTCCTCTGCACACTCACCGGTAGTACTAGTCTACAGCCCAACTCCTTATATGAACAATACGAACAAAAATACTTATAATTATAAAAATGTTGAGATACATATCGTGACCTGATAAAAGCACAATTAGTTATAAATGTAGCTCTGAGAACAAAAGAGCAAATAAATAATGCAGTAATCAATTTCAATACACTACTATTATCTGCAGCATCTTCATTTACACCAATAACTAAAACCAAAAATGTAATACCTGTTCCGAATCACATCAAACATAAAATAGAACAAAAAGTATATAACAATTTGTGAAATAAAAATCATCGCCGCTAACATCAACCAGGCTATGAGGAGGTAACTGGTAAATTCCTTCTATAAAATGCCTTTCTTTTACATTAGAAAGATCTTTAACTGCATGATCAGGAATAAGATTTTCCCTTCTGTTTGGAAAGTAGCGAAGGTTGTAGCAATACCCAAAGCAAACAAAAATGCTTCAACTGTCAACTCTTACAGACTGATCAGCTTCTTACCCATCTTATCTAAACTATTCGAAAATCTTCTTTTCTCCCAACTGAAACCAATAATACAAGAAAACAATCTTTTGCCAAATCACCAATTTGGATTTCGTAAAAAACATTCTACAATTCAGCAAATTTATCGGGTGGCTAGTAAAAT